GTGATGCTGGCTAACCACTGTATATTTTAGTTTCTGTTTCTGTAAAATAGAAGACATGATAGTTTCTACTTCTACAGTTGTGACAATTACATGAGCTTAAAACATGTGAAGAACATAAAGCATTTTGTGTGAACAGGATAAACATCCAGTAAATAGTACAGTATCTACCCCATGGGGTTGCCTTGGAAATTGAAAATGATACAGGTAAAGCACTCTTTCAGAAGAGACATACTCAAATGTCAGCTATTATTGTGTGACAGAAATTAAATTTTATATATCAGTATATATAGGAAGACTGTCAAAAGGAGAAGAAACAATCACACAATTTTTATTTGGCAGTATAAAAACAAAACTGCAGTTATTTATGTAAATTGCTTACCACTTAGGTCTAATTACTAAGAAGTACAATAACAATTACACATATCATTAAGTGTGTGAGACTGAATTCGCTAAAACTTTTGATTATAACACCAACCCCTGTGTACATATGCTCAGCGTTCACTGTCGTTGCTCTTGTGGTATGATCATCTGCTAATGTAGCAATGGTCATCTGCTCACAGTGTTAGAGAATTGGGAGCACTGGTGTGCCAGATGTCCTTCTCATATCCTCCCCTAGATCTTTTTCAGTCCTTATTATCCTACAATTTTCTGTTCTTTCTGATGATCCTCCCTTCCATCCTTTTTTCAAAACCCTATAATTCAATCTGTTTTTAAAGAGCACTTATTTTGTTCAAGGTATTATAATAGGAGCTGGGGGGGATACAAGGATAACTAACCTCTACTTACAGTCGAGTATTAGGGAATAAAGGGAAACCTTAATGTGAGGCAGAAGAAAGTTGCTGTGAGTCTTCAAGAAATGCTGGTTGTGGTTTTTGAACTAGATACTTCTTTAAACATAAGTAAGATTTTATACAGAATTGACTATTCTGGACATTTTATATAAATCGGATCATACGATTTATGAAGCAGAGAAATAGGATGGGGGGAGTTGTAATTTTAAATAGGATGATCAAGGAAAGCTTTAGGGAAAAAGACACACTGGATTTAAAGGCTGAATGCAGGTGAAGAAACAAACTACTTGGACATCTGAGTAAAAAGCATTACAGGCAGAAAGAGCAGCAAGCGCAATGGCTGGTGGCTGGAGGGTGCCTGGTATATTGGAGGAACAAGGAGACCCATGTGGCTGGAGCAAAATAAGGGGAGAGTAGTAGGAGATTAGGTTAACAGGAGCCAGGCTGTGTAGGATTTTATAAACCATGCTAAGAGTTTGACTTCTGCTCTATGTGAATAGGAAATCATTAGCGGATTTTGAGCAAAAAGTAGCAAAATCCGATTTATATATATATTTTTAAATTTGTTTATTAGGGCAACTGGGTGGTTCAGTGGTTGAATGTCTACCTTTGGCTCAGATAGTGATCCTGGGATCAAGTCCCACATCAGGCTCCCCATAGGGAGCCTGCTTCTCCCTCTGCCTGTCTCTGCCCCTCTCTCTGTGTCTCTCATGAATAAATAAAATATTTTAAAAATAAATAAATAAATAAATAATCTGTTTATTTATTTGAGAGGGGGAGGAGGGGCAGAGAGAATTTTCAAGCAGACTCCCCACTGAGCATGGAGCCCAATGTAGGGCTTCATCTCATAACCCATGAGGATCATGACCTGAACCAAAACCAAGTCAGGTGCTCAACCAACTGAGGCACCCAGGCACCCCTGATCTATATTTTAAAGGGACTGTTCTTTTTTTTTTAAGATTTTATTTATTTATTATTTGACAGAGAGTGAGCACAACCTAGGGGAGTAGCAGGCAGAGGGAGAGGCAGAAACAGGCTCGTCACCAAGCAGGGAGCCTGGTGTGGCTCAATCTCATGACCCTGGCATCATGACCTGAGTTGAAGGTAGATGCTTAACAGACTGAGCCACTCAGGTGCCCAGGACTGATCCTTAAGTGGAACAATCATTTTGAGGACAAAATGTGGGAGGATAAGGGTGGAAGCAAGGAGAACAGTCAGTAGGCTTTAACAATAATCCAGGCACAAATGGAGTGTGTGGCTATCTCAGTAGAGCATGCAACTCTTGATCTTGGGGTTATGAGTTTGAGCCCCACATTGGGTGCAGAGATTGCTTAAAAATAAAATCTTAAAAACAAAATCCAGGCAAGAGACAGTGATAGCTTGGACCCAGTGATAGCAGTGAAGGTGTTGAAAATTGATTACAGTCTGAATATAATTTGAGCTGGAGTTGGCAGGATCTGTTGACAGAATGAATATGGGATATGAAAGAAAGGAGCCAAAGGTGACTCCAAGGTTTTTGTCTGACAACTAGAAGGAGGAACTGTTCCTTAGTTAAGTGGGGGAAGACTACAGAAGGGGCAGGTTTGGGATGGTGGCAGCAAAGGTCAGGAGTTAAATTTGAGATGTATTACGTTTGAGATGCCCATTAAACAATGAAGTGGAGATGTCAAGAATATAGTTGGATATGCAAGTCTGGAGTTCAAAAAAAGGTCTGAGAATTGTTAGGAGGGTAAGGCACAAGCCTTGTGAATGACACTCAATCTGTGTACTATCTTCTGCAACTGTCCATTTGGGGAATGGAAAGCTTGTACCCCATCTAAGAGCATGCTGACTGTACCATGTTCTATAGAGCTGCCTCCACCTGGTAAACAAATTTTATATCTTTCACTCTTTGTTACCATCTTGCCTTCAATCATAGAACTGTCCCTAGGTAATACCCGCACAAACACTTAAATTCCTTCCTCTTTGGCTCTCTTTTCACTTCTTAACATCACACACTCAACTATGCTTTCTGTAATCCATATTATGCTTTACTCCCCAATAAAAAAAAATGTTGCCATTGTCTCGTTAATTAAGAACAAGATCCTGTGATGTCTGGGTGGCTCAGCGGTTGAGTGTCTGCCCTCAGCCCAGAGCTTGATCCTGGGGTCCCAGGATTGAGTCCCGCATTGGGCTCCCTGCATGGAGCCTGCTTCTCTCTCGGTCTGTGTCTCTGCCTCTGTGTCTCTCATGAATAAATAAATAAAATCTTTAAAACAAAACAAAACAAGATCCCCCTCCTTAGGTGTTCACAAGGACATACAGTTATTTTTAAAGTGAGATATAGTCAACATATCAGTTTCAAGTATACAACAGAATGATTCTATATATGTACATACTACAAAAATGATCATTACAGTAAGTCTAGCTAACATCTATCCCAATTCTTAATACTGGATAGTCTGGATATGAGGAAACCAGTCATAATGGTTCAAATATGTCTGCAAATAACTCTGGGGTTAACAAAGGTTAATTAATGGAAATGTCCACATAAGGCCTACAGTCTTGTCCCATGGCAGGTGTTCAATTAAATCCAATTGATTAATCATTTCAGCTCAACCAGCAGATCATACAAATCTTGACATATAGGATCTTGAGGAAAGAATTCTCTACTGTCTCCCCCCATGGCTCCCTGTGATTCCAACTTAGTATCCTCTCACAGGGTATCTCTTCCTCCAGGCTCATGGTAAAGCTTTCTCTTTTGTCTGCCACCTGATTTTTATTTTGTTGCTATTTTCTCTCCTGACACTCTATCCTCTTGAATGGGAACTAGCCTCCATCTGGCCTGGTAAGGTTCAAAAGTCTTTGCAAATTATGCCTAACATAAAGATTGCTTTTATGAGCTAGAGCAAGACTCTCTGGCGTTATCCCATTATAGCTACACCCATCCCCTGTCCCTAACCCCTGGCAACCACTCATCTATTCTCCAGCTCTATAATTATGTATTTCACAACTGTTACATGAATAAAACCATGAAATATGTATCCTTTTTTTAGAGACAAAAAGGGAGAGAGCATGAGTGGGGGGAGGGGAAGAGGGAGAGAGAGAACCCCAAGCAGGCTCCACACCCAGTGAGAAGCCCTACACTGGGCTTGATCTCACCACCCGGAGATCATGACCTGAACCAAAATCAAGTCGGACGCTTAACTGACCAGTCACTCCAAAGTATGTATCCTTTTTAAATTGGCTGTGATCACTCTGTATAATTTCCTTGAGGTTCATCCAAGTTATTGAATGTATCACTGAGTAATGCTCCGTGGCATGGATGTACCACAGTTATGGAAAGATATTTGAGGAGTTTCCAGTTTGGGGGTATATAATGAATGCATTGTTATAAGCATCCATATACAAGTTCCTGAATAAGGATAAATCTTCATTTCTTCATTTATCCTTATTCAGAAATGCTAACTTGAATGGCAAGTCCATTTCTTTCAGAACTGAAATAAACTATTTTCCAGAGCCAGATTATTTATTTTTGGAATTTAATTATCAGTTCCTAGAAAGACATTCTGTTTACCTCTTTCTGATTAGAGAACTATCCTTCTAAGAGTCCTATAGAGCCAGATGGACTTGGATTCAATCCCACTTTAATCACTTATTAGCTGGGTGAGCTGGAACAATATATTTACTTTTTTTGAGTCTCCAATTCCCTACTTAAAAAATAGGAATAATGGCCAAGACACTAAGAATTTAATAAGATCAACATGTAAAATCCTCACAGTAGAGTGTCTGGTACAAACTAGTGAGTTACTGCTCTCTTTTCCCAACCCATGGCAAAATAATGATTACATATTACTCCTGACATTTTTGGTATTTGAAATTTTAAAAATCAAAAGAAAACATAATTTTAGCTCCTTTTTTTTTTTTAAAGTAGGCTCCATTCCCAGGTTGGAGACCGATGCAGGGCTTGAACTCACAACCCTGAGATCAAGACCTGAGCTGAGATGAAGTCAGACCCACTGAGCCACCTAGGCACCCAATGTTAGCTCCTTTTGTACATATTCTATTAGATAAATTATCTTTAATAGATTCTTTATGCACCATTTTTCCTTGGCAAGACCATTTTCATTTCTTCCTATCAATTATGTTTACTGAGGTAATCCTTATAATGTTTGGCAACAGAAATGAGTTGGTATATGCCCATTATGATCTGTGGTTTTTCTCTTCTAGGTCAGTGAACAATTTCCTGATGACTGGTCCAAAGGTAAGAAAAAAAAATCCTTTGATTTATTTGAATTTCACTAACTTTAGCTTCTTGACTGAAGACTATACATATCAATTTCTTTTCATTATATCCACATTTTTTATTAGCTGTGTATATTACAGAATGAAAAACCATGCAGAGAGAGGGTTAGAGATGCACCCAAAAGAACACAGCAAACTAGTGTCAGGGCCAAGGCAAGAACTCAGGAGTACTGATACTGAACTTATGGACAGAATTTCCAGAGCCAGAAAAGTCAGAAGCCTTTCCTGGTGTCAGGTTGCAGCCACACATCCTTCTCAGTGCAATGGCAGGACACAGTTTTCCATCTTTAAAATGCTGGAATTGTATTCTATGATCCCTCAGGACAGTTCCAGTCTCAAAATGTTCTTTTTTAAGACAGTAATGGGATGAGAACAGCTTAAAATCCATGAAGTATGTATTTGGTCTCATTTTGGAGAGGTAAAATAGTATAGTGAATAAAGGCTAGTGAGGTCTAGAGTCTGGCAATACTGAATTTCATTCCTACGGTTATCATCTGCTAGCTCTGGGACCTTGAGCAAACTGCTTTACTTCACCTCTGTAAGCTTCAGGCTCCTAATCTATAAAAATGGTACCTATTTCATGAGGTTATTTGTGATGTTAAATGGGACAGCATATTTAGAGTGCTTACTCGGTCATTATTTTAGGAGGGGAAAGTGGCATGAAAAGAGATGCTTGGCCACTTCAGGGCAAATGCCTCCCAAGTTCAGCTGGGAGTCTGAATTTTGACCCCTGTGTTTCTGTAGGCTTACCTGATCTATTCCAGCAGTGTGGCAGCTGGTGCCCAGAGTGGTATTGAAGAATGCAAATATCAGTTTGCCTGGGACCGATGGAACTGCCCTGAGAGAGCCCTGCAGCTGTCCAGCCATGGCGGCCTTCGCAGTGGTAAGGAAAGCCTTGGCTACAGTTCCCTGGACCCCCTGGCCACAGGTTAGAGCCCAACTCTTCAGGGATGGCCCCCTGCTGCTTCTATATCCATATTCTAGTCCTCACCTGGTCTCTACTCTCAGGTGATCTTGTCTCTGGGATCTTCTCTGTCCCTTCTCCATCACCTCCTTCCTACTTATAAAGCTTTTCTTTCTTTCTTCCCAAAACCCTCACTGCTCAGTGAATGGACCTTGCCTCATCCCCAACCTTAAGCCATCCTTGGCCTCCCAGTTGGCTAAAGGCTTCCTCACAATATAAAAAGCATCAGGAGGTAGGTGGGGGTATTAATTCTTCAAGCCTCTTAGCCCTCCCTTCAGCAGCTCAGCGGAGAGGTACAGGATGAATGGGGACTGACTTGGACACCAGATTCCCAAGAAGAAGATAAAGAGTGGCCATGCCACGAAATGAAATAGCTGCCAATCAGTTCTTTTCAGGACTAGATGGCACGTGCCTCTCAGGCTTTAGTATTTTAAGAAAAAAGAAACATGGGTTCTTTACAACCTGGCCTTCAGATTCATCTCCTTCCCCATTTCTTCCTCTGGCTATTCACCACCTAAGTCCTTTACAACCATGTATGTCAACAATAATCCAGCCACCTAGTCAATGTGTGACCTGAAAAGATGGGAGGGGAGAAGCATAGCACTGAGACCAAGGCTGGAACAGACCATGGAAGCAAGTAAGGTATATTATAAGGGTGAGGAAACAGGATGGAGCCGGAGATGGAGAACATAATGATGGCATTAAAGGCAGATAGCATGACTGGTACTTCTTTGAGTTGCAACCCCTCCCTCTAACTCACCCATCTTTGGTTCCTGCCAGCTAATCGGGAGACAGCGTTTGTACACGCCATCAGTTCTGCTGGGGTCATGTACACTCTGACTAGGAACTGCAGCCTTGGCGACTTTGACAACTGTGGCTGTGACGACTCCCGCAATGGGCAGCTGGGTGAGTAGTAGTACTGTGGGTTGCCAGGCCAGGCCAGCAAAGTTCACTACGCATGAAAAGTTTGGTAAGTAGTTTGATGAGGTGAAGAAGAGTTGTATTCTTCTAAATCTGAAGAAAATCAAGGCCAACCAGTTTAAGCCGAAACCCTAGAGTGACAAACTAGGCTCAATGTAGCTTGGGGCCCTCCTCTCCCAATTGAGTGGTTTCCTTACTTTAAACACGATAAAGGAACAACACCCTGTGGCTTCAATTCTGTTACTCTCTCAGAATAGAGAGAGTATTATTCCATATTGCCTGTCCCTGTTTCCTTCCCACTCCTTACCTCCTCTGTCCTCTTGAATCCTCTCTGTCCTCCAGCTCAATTTCCAATTTGTTTGTTAATATTATTTCCATTGTGCCTCTCTCTCCTCCTCAATGCTGGCACTTTCCCTTCTGTTTTCCTGCCATTTTGTGGACATCAATCGTTGATCAGGCATATACACACTCTGCTCAAAGGCCAGCAACAGGGGCATGGCACTGGCAGCTTGCAGAGAATCCACTCTGCACTACTAACCTCGTGGAGTCCTGAGCAGGGGATTGGCTGAGGCTGGAAGTGGAAGTGCAAAAGTGGCCCAAACAAATCTAAGCTGAAACTGATCTGGAGACAGGGCACTTGCCCAAGGCCAAACTCAATTAGAAACAGTAGCCCAGGAGCCCAAGCTCGCCTGTTCAAAGACCTTTCCTCCCCTTGCACTCATCCCAGGTGGCCAAGGCTGGCTGTGGGGAGGCTGTAGTGACAACGTGGGCTTCGGAGAGGCAATATCCAAGCAGTTCGTCGATGCCCTAGAGACAGGACAGGATGCCCGGGCAGCCATGAACCTGCACAACAATGAGGCTGGCCGCAAGGTGAGTCTTGTAGCCCTTGGGGTTAGGCAGCTGGCTCCATCCTCTACCAGCCCTAGGTGTGGACAGCTCTTCAGTTCATTTAACAGATTGGAAAAGCGAGGGACAAAGCCCGTGAGCCATATGGACTAGCTAGACGCCTCACAACCCCCCCCCAGGCCGACTCCCCACCACTTAGTCCCTGGCCAGCTCACTCCTGGCTCTCTCCCCAGGCGGTGAAGGGCACCATGAAACGCACGTGTAAGTGCCACGGTGTGTCTGGCAGCTGCACCACGCAGACCTGCTGGCTGCAGCTGCCTGAATTCCGCGAGGTGGGCGCACACCTGAAGGAGAAGTACCACGCAGCTCTCAAGGTGGACCTGCTGCAGGGCGCTGGCAACAGTGCTGCCGGCCGGGGTGCCATCGCCGACACCTTCCGCTCCATCTCCACGCGGGAGCTGGTGCACTTGGAGGACTCCCCGGACTACTGCCTGGAGAACAAAACGCTAGGACTGCTGGGTACTGAAGGCCGAGAGTGCCTGCGGCGTGGGCGGGCCCTGGGCCGCTGGGAGCGCCGCAGCTGCCGCCGGCTCTGCGGGGACTGCGGGCTGGCGGTGGAGGAGCGCCGGGCCGAGACCGTGTCCAGCTGCAACTGCAAGTTCCACTGGTGCTGTGCCGTCCGCTGCGAGCAGTGCCGCCGGCGGGTTACCAAGTACTTCTGCAGCCGCGCCGAGCGGCCGCGGGGGGGCGCAGCGCACAAACCCGGGAGAAAATCCTGAGGGTCTCCTTTCTCCCCACCTCTCCCTCATTTGTCCTTGGCTTCTTTTAGAGACCCCAGTAATAGAGGCACCAAGGGAATGCTCCCCAGCCCCCTACCCTGCCCTGCCCAGGGATCCCAAGAAAGAGAGACGCTGCAATCTCTCCAGAGCTCTCCACTTTCCAACTCTTTCCCCCAATTCCTCTGAGATCTCCTCAAACTCCATCTGAGTCATCCTCATAGTCCACACTTAGGTCTGAGGACTTCCAGTCCTGAGATTTTGAGCTATTGATCTTCCTTGGACTAGGATGAGAACAGGCATCCCTCTTCCCCTTCCTAGCTGCCCTAATGCCTGACCTAGCCTCTGGAGCCTTAGGAAACCAGAAAAACACTTCCCGGATATGCAGGGTCAGGGTAAAGCCATGCTTTTCTCTTTTTTACAATTTCCTGCACCCCTCCCCCATTTTTCTGCTGCCAGGTCTCTACCATAGCCACATCTTTTTTCTGCAGGGCTCCTCCCGTGCTTCTGTTAGCTCCCTGCTAACTGTTGGCAGACACTCCAGCAATCTCTAATGCTTTTTCTCTTGTTCCCTTTTCCTGAAGAAAAACTGTGACAAAACTGACCCAGGAAAAAGCATGTCTTTGGGGACTATTTCCTAAAGGCAGGGCCTGAAGATGGAAGAAGTGGGAACCCTAGAGGGCCGACTTGCTCGTGATACTATGTCTTCAGTGGACTTCACCAGTCAGGCAGTGATCTTCCTAGACAATCACCCGAAGAGCTCCAGACATACCCATAATGTCTAGGAACTATGTAAGGGCAGATTACCAGTCATTTTCTATCCCTTAAAGGAAACTTCTTGCTCAAAACCTATTTCTTCCTAGCAACCAACTTTACCTCTCCTCCTGCCCCAAAGGATCCTTGTTCCTCTGAGCCAAGACTGAGCTAAATAAAGCCAATTTCCCATTTAGACCCCAGTTTGCACCTCTAAAAGCAGGTCATAAGGAAGGAGAAGCTGGGACCCTTCCTTTTCACAAAACTGGATCTCAAATAGACAGGATTCAGGGCATTGGTTACTTTTCTTCAATAGGTAAACTTCCTGCAATGAAACTTTCCAAATGGAAGCTCAGCACCTTGAACTTTAATTTATTACTGGCACTGTGGTATGTGCCTTCTTTTCTAGGTATTGAACTTATTCTTGGGGACGTAAGGGAGGGTGGGTGGAAGATACGTCTAGGCCCACTCTTCCCTCCCACCTTGCCAGAACATGCCTTACTCCCCCCATGGCCTAAGTAGTTATGCTGGCCTGACTGAGGCTAATCTGCCAACAATTAATGAATCATCTATGTAAATCTTATACCAATACATTCACTCAGTAGCTAAGACTCACTGCTTGTGGTGCTTGAGATAGAAGCAGTATAGCAGGGACTTGCTTCTTAAAGAGGGCTCTGGAAAGGGAAGAGTCAATCCCTGACAGACTCTCTGTAGCTAAGAAGCTTCCCAACCATCTCCCTTCTCCTAAGCTGGTCATGGGTCTGGACACAGAACTGCTCTTTAGGAGAACTGCTCAGATGCCAGACCACCTCATCCTACCTTCCAGAGTAGAGAGAACACAGAGATGTGGCTCTAAGTAGGTGGGGAGCGGGGGGGCTGAGGCTTTAGGGGCTGACCCATGAGAGTGGAAAGACTCCTTTTATATTCCAGATTGGGACAGTGGCTGGGTCAGACCCCAAACCCCTGGCCTCATCCCTACACATCCTCTGATCGGCTAACACTTACTGAGGAGAGAGGTTGCCTGCCCTTCCTCACAGGGACACACTTCCCTTCAGGGTCTTCTGGTGCTTCATTTCCAGTTCTATCAGCAAAAGGCCTTTTTTGCTCCATCCCTCAGCTTTGATCTGGGCCTTTTGAATCTCCCAATGTGTCCTTCTTCCCTAATCAAGCAGCAGCATATACTAAGCTGGCTGTCCCACTTGGCAGAATTACTTGATAGTGTTCAGTAAGAAAATCTGGCAAGACAGCTAGAAAATATAAAAGTACAGAGTTGTAAAGGAAAACTGCATTCTCCAAGAGGTCTCTCAGCATAAAAGTAGGAATACTATTGTGCTTCATATTTGATCATTCCAGGTCAGTACTTGAAACCTGTCATACTGCCAGAAAGTCCTTTCATAGGTTGTTGTTCTGTATTCCCAAATGGATATGATTGATACCAGATTCATCTGAGTTTTATAAAGAAAACTTTATTGAGCTACCTTAGATCTGTATTGCTTTTTTTCCTCTCTTGTATTATCCATTCATTCATTTGGTCATTCAACAAACACTGGTGGGCAAATAGAGTGGTGAACAACACAATAACCTCCCTGCATTCATGGAGTTTAGGTTCTTTCTTATACTCAAACACCAGGGCTGTGTTCCCCTTTGCAAACATGGACAACTCCAGAACAGTTGCTTGGGAGGACACTTTGGAGGTCAGCTAGACAAACCTTTTGTTTTACAGACTAAAAGTGATGCTAAAAAAGATGTCTGTCTTTGTTCAGCCAACTAGTAAGTTACCATGGGGTACATACTGGAACCCTGGTCCCTTCCCTCCTCTTGTGTCCTCTTTAAGGCCCATCTATCTCCACCAGAGAGAAGCAGAAGGAGATCCTGAGAAGTGACAAGGACACTGGGTGGGGGAGGAGGGGCGCAAAACACTGTCCTTCCTGTTCCTGGCCTGTGAGCCTACACACAGGCAGGGCTTTCTTTCCTTGAAAAGAATCTCAGCCTCAACTGGCCTTAGCAGCAGGTTAGGGCAAAGACAGAGCCAGGGTCGCACTCAGCCCTGGTGGTGCTGGCGGTGGTGGGAGGGGAGGGCAGGCCAGGGCACCCTCCTATTGTGGGTCTGGATTGGATGCTTCCACTCATTCATTTCCTTTTAATTAACCCGCATTCCTGGAGGAGAAATATTTATGTTGGCTCCCATAGAGGCAATCCGCAGACTGGAAAGAAGGGGGAAGAAAGCCTGCCTTAGCAAAACAATATCTCTAAAGAGCTCAAGAAGAGAAAATAAGAGAACAAAATGCCATTAAAATAGCCTTCTACCCCCACTGGAGTCAATGAAAACTTCATTTCACATGCTAATCCCCCCACTCCGCCCCCTTCTCTTCTCACAACACCTTTCCCCGAAAGTGTTTGGGAAAAGTCTTCGCAGTCAGTACACAGCTCCCTGCAGCTCAGACTTCTCCTTGTGTTAGTTCAGGGCCCCAAGTGGGGCTCTCGCTCCAGCAGCGGCTTTTTTCTCCCCCCCTTTAATTTAAACAAAGACTTCGGAGTTCATCAACCTCCCACTGAAATTCACAGCTGCTGAACAAACTAATCCCCTCTCCCTGCCTTTCTTCCCTTCAATGGGCTCTTGGCTTCAAAGACACTTTGGGAAAGGACTTTGCTGGGGCTCACACTGCTTCATCAATAGAAGTTAGTGCAAGTATTATCTGAAGAGCAAGTGGCTTTACAAACAAATACTGCCTAACAATCCCTTCCTCCCAAACACACACATCTAGCCCACAGACATGATGGGATCTACAACAGGATTAGAGATAGTACCCCCCGCTTCACACCCAGCCCCTTTGTGTAGCTGAGCTCAGCCCTGAAGTGTTGTGGGGAAAACCCTAGAGCCGAACGTCAGGCACAGATGGAGACAGACAGACACACACAGCAGAGTGGCCACAGAAGCTGCAAGGCTTTCTCCTTGCATCCTCCTTTCTTCAACTTTCTAGACTCCCCATCTGTCCTCAAGCCTCTCTCCTGCTTTATTGGGGTACAGGGAGCACAAACAAAGAGGCTAGGAAGAAAGATAAGGGCAAAATAGGATCTAGAAGAGATAATAATTGGAAGAGGACTGAGGAAACCAAATCAAAGCAGCTTTATTGCCCATTAAGTACATCAGTGCTTCAAATACAAAGTCCAACCATGAAAAGTACAGCCAGAGAAGGCAGCCCTGAGACATGTAGGGGCTGAGGAGAAGGGCCTCCAACCCTTGAGGAGCAGTGCTAGAAAAGTCTTTTGTTAATATGGCTCCAATTCCAGAACTGGGCTTATGATCACAGAATGAATGGTTGAGGGCCTTGGGCCAGGGCCCAGACAGGTCAAGTCAGGACCATTCCCTGCAGGCAGTGGTCCCTCTGCTCCTGTTTCACAGCCTAGGACAGCTCCCAGCAAAAGGCAGTGCATCCTTTCTATATTCCACCTAATCTAGCCCACCCTTACAATACTGGTAGAAGAGAAGGTCCTTGTAAAAGGCCAAATTTCCTCCTTTTGGTTCTGCTCAGCACCAACCCCTCATAACCTTGACTTGTTCAAAAAATGAACAAGAGTTTACTCTACCCCAGCCTCTGGGGCCCAGAGTATAAAGGACCTGGAAATATGAAGTCAGAGCCAAGAAGGTAAGGTCAGGCTCATAACCCAGGGAAGGGAAAAAAACAAAAGTCCCACAAGATGGGTACAGCAGAGGTAGACTTGGAGGTACTGATCCTGCTCACCTCAGAAGCCACTTAAAACAGAATATCCCTAGGAGAGAAGATGAACTGTCCTGGGTCCTGTCAGAGTACAGCATCAAGGCAAGTGAAGAGCCAACTCTGTGCTCTGCCTCAGAGGCTGAGAGAGTCTTGGGCAGATTCTAGAAAGCCAGGCATAAAGGGGTGGAAAGCAGGCACTCTGCTAGTTTAGAGGCAAGCCCATAGCATCATATACCTGGCAACAAGGGAAGAGGGGTGGGGAAAACAAAAAATCTATTCCAAAATTCCCCCTTTTCTGCAGGGAGGAGTTAAGTAACAGCAGAAGTAGGCTCCTCACAAGAGAGGCTGCCTGGTTTACACGTGCAACTTATGAGCAATGGTGAGGACAGACTTCAGGACAAGCATGAAGCTGGAGACCTCGCTGAAGCTGCTGCAGCCCACCACCTGGGCATGCACCGCAAGGCCCTGCTCAAAGTTTCCTGCGTCCACACATCGGGCAACCTCATGGAGCCCAGCCAGGACATGAGGCGA